TTTCTTTTCTTTGGGGTCTTTTTCCCCCAACCGCCTAGCCAATTCCTACCTCCTATTCTTTTTTTTTTTTTTCAAGCTTTTAAAAAGACTTCATTGAGGGCTGGAGAGATGGCTCAGTGGTTAAGAACACTGGTTGTTCTTGCAGAAGACCAACACCCACATGGCAGCTAACAACTGTCCAATCCCAGGGGATCTGACAGCCTCTTCTGACCTCCCAGGGCATTGCACGACATGGGTACACTTACCTACATGCAGGCAATACACACATACACATAAAAAAAATAATAAAAATTTAAAAACTGTAATAAAAATTATGATTTTTTTCCTTAAGTCACTTCATAGGCTTATATTTTTGCTTCATGTTGGGTCTTTGGCATGTACTAGTTAAGCTAGCTAGATACCCTATCCCATGCCCCCCACCCCTCCTCACCCGTGCTTTGCTCCAGAATGATGCCAGAGAGGTAGAGAAAGGTCCCTGTCATTGTTTAGAAGAGTAACATTGCTTTCTTTTCTAGTGGCGTGTACATCTTTCCTAGTTCGCTATATCCTGGCTAGGGTGCTTTCAGAGTGTGTTTACTGTTAAAATATTAGCGAGTTTCAGAGTTACAAGAGCTCTAGAGATTTAGCGATATATTAATTTTGCATTTCCAGACTTACAGAAAGGGATGTCTGTGAGAGGACAGTAGGGAGGGAGTCTCTTAGTCCTCTGAGCCAGTGTTAATCCTCATCCCATTCACAAAGTGGTTCAAGCTTCATCAAAGGTTAAGGAGTATCGATGTGATTTGATCAACTTTTTTTTTTTTTCCCCTGTGTGTTTTTGCGACAGGGTCTCCCTGTAGCCTGAGCTGTCCTGGAACTCACTGTGTAGACCAGGCTGGCCTTGAACTCACAGAGATCCACCTGCCTCTGCCTCCCAAGTGCTGGGACTACAGGCGTTTGCCACCATGCCTGGCTAATTTGATCAACTTTTTTAAAAAATATAATGGTATAACTTATATGCCATAAATCTCAGTCATTTTAATTATAACATGTAGTATTTTTTTTAGTGAGTTTATTGTATAACCATTACCATCATCCAGTTTTACAGTATTTTCATAATTCCAATGAGATTCCTTTGTGCTTCCCATCCCAAGTGCCAGGCAGCCACAAATCTATTTTTGTCCTCTTTACATTTCCCTTCTGGACATTTCATTTAAATAGGATCATACAGTAATGTAATGGAAGTATAATTTACATCCCATAAAGTCAACCTGATTAAAGTGTATACTTCATTAATATTTTGGTAAATTTACAGTTCGGCTTTAGAACAAATTAAAGTTCAGTCATTACCACAGTTCAGTTTTAGAACATGTCCCTCATTCAAAAATGATGCCTCATGTCTATTTGCAGTAGCTCCCTACTCCCTGTTCCACCCCAGCCCTAGGCAACCAAAAATCTACTTCATGTGTGTATAGATTTGCCCTTTCTGGACATTGAATATAAGAGGAATCATAATCATATATCATTCTTTTTTGTCCTTTGCATACGTTTTTTGAGGTTCATCCATGTCATAACATGTAGCAGTACATTGTTTCTTTTTATTGGACACTAGTTGATGGATATTGGATTGTTTCTGTTTCTTGGCTATTTGAATAAAACTATCAGTATTCACATCAAATCTTGGAAGATGTTTTATTTTCCTTGTACAAACCGAAGAGTAGAATTTAAGGTCATATAGTAAGTTTAACTTCTTCATAAACTGCCCAAATGTCTTTTTCAAAGTGCTGGTACCATTTTACATTTACTAGCAAATGTATGAGAATTCCCATTTCTCTACATTTTAGCAACATTGTTGTCTTTTTTTGTATGTGTGAATACATACAGTGTGGTGCTAGAGAGCAAACTTGGGTCTCACACATGCTAATCATGTGCTCTGCTCCTGAACATTACATCCCTAACCCTGTCTCTTTGGTTCTATCCATCCTAGTGGGTATGAAGTGGTATCTCATTGCATTTCCCTAATGACTAATGATGGTGAAGATCTTTTCATGTGCTTACTAGACTTATCAGTTTTCTTACTAGGGTTGCACATTGTTTTTTTTTTTTTCCTTTTTTTTGAAACAGGGTCTCAATGTATAGTCCTGGCTGACCTGGAACTTGCTGTGTAGATCAGACTGGCTTTGATTTCACAGAGATCTACCTGCCTCTGCCTTGAGTGCTGGGATTAAGGGTGTGCACCATCAACCTCCATTGAGTATATTCATTTTGGATATGACTCCTTTATCATATGATTTCAGTAAAGGTGTTTTCTCCTAGTTTTATCCCTGCCTCCCTCCCTCCCTTCCTCCCTCCCTTCCCTTTTTATTAATTATTATTTATGTATATATTTGTATCTGTATGCTGTGTGTGAACTGGTGCCCCCAGAAGCAAGAAGAAAGAATCAGATCCCCTGAAGCTGGAGTTAACAGGCATTTGTGAGTCACCTGATGTGGGTGCTGGGGACTGGACTCTGGTTCTTTAGGAAAGCAATTCTCTTTCTTAATCACTGAGCCATTTCTCCAGCCCTGAATTTTTTTCTTATGCTGATTTGGCTTTTGGTGTTAAATGTCTAAGACTACTACTACAACTGCTACTGCTATTCCTCCTCCTCCTCCTCCTCCTCCTCCACTACTACTTCCTCTTCCTCTT